GCCTAACTACTACCGCCAGAAGCCTGGTAAGGTTCCTTCTTTTCTATAAGTCGCTTTTCCGTCGCAAGATCGTTCTATGGAACTTCGTCGCGGTCATCCTGCAAAACTTCTTCATGAGCGCACCATACGGTCGTAACTGGAGTTTCTTGTGGAGCTCCGAACACACCCACGCCTGGGAGATTGTGATTCTATGCATCGTCTTCTTCGGAGTTGTCTGGTGTGCTTTCCTCTTCATCGTCAGCAAGTTCTCCAAGAGGCACAGTTGGTTCCTCCCGGTCTTCGCCTGTGGTCTGGGCGCACCTCGCTTCATCCAAATCTGGTGGGGAATTTCAGGCATTGGTTACTATCTGCCTTGGGTTGGTGGAGGATATACCGCCGGTGCTCTTGCTTCTCGCAGTATCTGGCTCTGGCTCGGAGTACTCGATTCTATCCAGGGTCTGGGCTTCGGTGTCATCCTCCTGCAAACACTTACGCGTGTCCACATGTGCTTTGCCCTCATCGCCTCGCAGGTCCTTGGTTCGATTGCCACCATTTGCGCTCGCGCATTTGGACCCAATCGGGTAGGCCCTGGTCCCATCAGCCCCGATATCACCAAGGGCGCTGGTGAACTTGCGAATGCCTGGTTCTGGATTGCCCTGTCATGTCAGCTTCTCATCTGTGCCGGCTTCCTACTCTTCTTCCGCAAGGAACAACTCTCCAAGCCATAATCTCTTCATTATGCGCGTCTGACCTCACGAGCGATACTTTCAAGTTTATCTACACGATACCACTTTCCCTTTTTGTATTTCCTTGATACATTTCTTCCATTGCGGAACGGCGTTGCTTGGGAATACTCTATCTAATTCTGGGTTTGCATAAATACGATCTATATACGCCCGGTCTGCGAAACTGCTCGACCGATAATATCCTGTCATTTAGTTCCTACTCTTGTCCATACCTCTTTCATTTTCTCGCTGTATAGAATATTTGACTTTACTGTTCCAATCCTTCAATCAAGCCTACCTTCCTGCCCAAAGTAACCCATGGATAGTACTACTAATATTTATAAGTTACGCCAAATGTCCCGCTACTACCAGCCCTGGACCTCGGGAGTGCTCGCCTCGCGTACTAGTAACATCCATGGGTTGCACTTTGCATTTTCTACATTATTCCGAAGAATGAGAAGACCACCTGGGAATTCTAGGCAGAGTACATCGTGTAGAAGAATGGCTGTCTCAACTCTTGGCTAGTACATGTTTATTCTGACCATGATTGCTCTCTTGGTGATCTAAACCCCCAATGAAAACTCCAACCAGCACCATCCATCACCCCATCTATGCCATCTATTCCTTGCTCCAGAAGATCCAAGCAATAATAATCAAACCCTTCAAGAAAGCAGCTGTCCACAACGCCCCCATCATACCAACATCGCTATGTGCCCAGAATCCACCAATAACAACCCCAATGAGCAAGAAAACAACAGCCCCAATCCTGCGCATCTGCTCCGTATTCCTAATCAACTTTGGCGACAGCAAATCCGGATGGGAGAACAGGTCACAGTAAACACTGGTCAGCACGACACTAGTGAGAGCATTGTACTTCAGCACGCGACTGGTAACAGCCTGTCCACTACTCTGAAACGCGACAAGAACAATCGGAACCAGAACCAACCAACTCAAGGGCTGATTCCGCGACGAGTGGAAGATAGTCACGATCAGCGCCGCGACCACGATACAAAGTAACTGGATCGTGAAGGAGGCAATCAGCACCCAGCGCTGTCTCGGCGCAAACGCGCGATGAAAGGCCGCAAAGCATAGCGAGCCCAGACAGAATCCTGCAATCGATACTCCAGATTTAATCCAACGGTCGTCGTCGGTGCCGACGAGGCCAAGACCGAAGTAGACTGTGTTCCCGGTTTGCATGCTCACAAAGGAGCCCCAGATGAAGACGGCAGAACTGTCGAGGAGACCGGTGATTATGTAGCAGAAGAGAAGGAGCAGATCGCCATGGCGCGGATCGAGGGGTTGTTTGAGGTATGTGGATAGTGAGCGATGCGACCGGGGTGAACGCGATCGAGGGGAGCGGTCCCCATTTTCGAGGAGGGGGGATGTTTCTGAGGGCATTTTGAATGTAGAGAGAAAGTGCTAACAGTTGTCTGAAGAAGAGATGATCAAGGAGAACTTGAACCTCTCGGCAGTTGCAGTTCCAGAAGGTTCAAGTTGCTCGTGTTGGTGCGGAGTGCGGAGTTGCGCGTCGGAGAAATGCGAATTTGCCGATTCTCCGCACGGCAAAAGTGGAAGCAACTGCGTCATCGAGGGGAGAGACACAACTGGCATTCAAATAGTCGTGGGTTATTAAAAGTACCCAGGAACAGGTGGACAGTGCATTGTGCACCCGTCAGACTCGATCCAGCTGCGCGGGAATCTCGCAGCTGTCAGTGAGATGCTTGGGCGTAACACTGCAGTATACTAGGAATAGTAGTATATATGATGAGAGATATGAGTAGGATGGTGTATACTACTAGTATACTGAAGGAGGAGAGATAGATGAGCGCGGTGAGATGTGTGTAGATGGATGGCGATCAAAGAAATAGTAAATTAATACCAATAGATATAGTAATGTCGACTGACTAAGCTGTGCGACATGAAGCATCTCAGTCTGAGGATACATTCTACTACTACTAATACTACTACTATTACACTGGCAGTGAATAAATCGCTGAATGGTATATTCGTATCAATACAAAAGAGCAGAACATGTCTCATCGGGTGCGAAACCCGGGTATATACAACTCGCTGACTGTCAAGACTCAGAACTCAGGAGACCCCTGCAACTAGATTTACTTCTCGTACGGCTGCACATTGCGCATGCGACGCAATGACCCCGAAGCAAAAGTGCGGATTCCTTCCTGGATCCAGGTAGGCATGGCACGCACCAGACTGGCGGCGGATTGGCTGGCCGGCAGGATAATCTGACCACTGGTTTGGGTGAGAATCTGCTTGCAGATGGCGTCGGAGACAAATTGAACGGTCATGATGGGTTGGCGGAATTGGGATTCGTGGTCGGTAAGCATCTTGATCATCGGAGTGCGAACCCACATGGGGTGAATGACACTGGTAGAAATCGGGTTAGCTGGGGGTTTCACCAACAATTCAGGGCCAGCAGCTAAACTCACCTGGTGCGCACATTAGGCGCCTTGTACCAGTAACGCAGCTCCTGGCGAAGAGACTCGTGGAATGCAAGAGCACTGGCCTTGGAGCAGCAGTAATCGGCCATCTCTCCGAGGGCGACAAAGCTGGCCATAGAAGCAATCGTGATGACATGACCGTGGTTGGCCTTGACCATGGCGGGGAGGAACTCCTTGACCATCAGGAAATGCGAGATGGTGTTGACCTCAAAGGTTTGACGAATCTTAGCCTCAGGCTCGTCGAGAATAGTTCCATCGTGGCCGACGCCAGCGTTGTTCACCAGGACAGTCGGCTCGCCGTGGTCGCTGCGGATAGACTTGGCGACCTCGGAAATACTGGCGGAGGAGGTGATATTGGCCTTGTAGAAGAAGACATTGGATGGCAGAGTGAAATTGGGCTCGTTGATATCGAGAATGATGACGCGCACGCCCGTCTTGGCCAGATCCTCCATGACTTGCTTGCCAATTCCACTGCATCCACCGGTCAGCAGGATGAGTTCACGAGAGGAGACCCATTTCTCATTGCGCGTCCAGTTTTGTAGAGTCCAGGCGGAAAGAGTCTTGTTCACATGGCGCACCAAGCCCAGCGCAACGACGGCGGCCAGCGCCTTTTGCGTGACTGGCTTGAGCAGCAATTGTTGAGCTGGTTGGGGGAGGGCCGCCAGGGCGGTTTGGGAGTATTGCTGGAGGAGATTGAGGTAGGCGGCCATGGTGGAAGATGTTGGAGGATGCTGATGCTCTATTTACGTCGAGATCATGATCTACTCAGGGTCTGGGGTAGGGGGACGTCTTTCCTTTTTAAAAGATGAAGCCCAAGCTTGCACACCCAAACGAGCCGAGGTCAACGCCAATCATACCCCAATGGGAAACCTTTGCGACTATTTTTTGAATAACGTAGGGACCCATATTAAATCCACTTTAATTCCAGGATTGGATCAATCATATTCTACCCCAGCCAGGCACAGGCCTAACCCAAGGTTAGCTTCTTCACATGCCCTCCCCGCATGCTTCCTTTCTGAGTAGTATGGGGCCGGCAGTAGAGCAACGAACTGACCAGAGCAGATCATCCTCGGTGATCCACTGTTCACACCGTTGTGCTTACTCCAGGGCTGCTAGTACAACCTTGGAACTCTGTACTTCATACGAGTTGCTCCAGACTCTATGACTTCCGAAAATCACCCCTCCAGGCCGGCCCCAATATAGTAGGACAACCTCGGTTCGCAACTTGAATACCCGGTCGGGACCCCTTGACTCAGACGATATAATTCAAATTCACTTCAAAATCAACAATCTAGCCAGGTTGGAATTCGGCCTGGTAGCACGATCATAATAGAATAAAATTAGAGTTGCTTACGGCCGTATAAATAGGTTACACACGAAACCCTGCCTAGTTGAGTAACCAGTAGTTATTCCAAGGTGATAGCTTTCATTAAGGCCCCCGGTCGGAGAATGGGTTAGAAGATAGTAATATGGATAGATGACTTCAACGATACTAGTGCTGATTCAGCCCTTCACTCGAATAGAGAAGTCTACGCGATATGAATCACTCGCATCTCACATTATACGACTTCGCATTCTATCTGTATACCCAGCACCCTGAATTGCTAGCATCAAGCACTTTAGATAGGTAGAATAGATTCACTGCGGCAGATTCGCCCAAAATATGGAAAACTCGTGATTTTGGAACGCTGCCCTCCTAACCAGAAACGTTGCATCAATCATGGCTATGGAGCGCGGTACATGCCAACCAGTTGCTTCTCACTTCTCTGAAAGATCAATCGTCGGCAGATCAGACATGTGCAGTTTCGCACTTCCGTACGGCCGCAGCGTAGCCTCAAACGTATCCCCGAGACAAGACCGCTGACTCTTTGGAATAGGTGAGTCTGGCACACCCTGAACAAAGGCCAACCGATCAAACACGCCTTGGCAGTAATGTACATCGGCAACTGGCCATCCTCGAAAGTCGGCGATGGTAGTGACTCGCCCGAACCGGCGTGATATTCCAGAGTTGAGGGATCAATAGCCACATTCCACTCGGTCGAGTTCAAGAGCACATAATCGTGTGCCTCGCTGGGGTAGGTTCCCACCGGGTATTCCTTCTGAGTATCGTAGAACTTGGGAGGTCCAGAGGTGCTAGTGTGAGGAATGTGGAGTGCGTAAAGGAGGGCTCCACGGTATATCGCGACAGTGTCATTGGCCCGGTCGGCAGTGACAAGGTCCATGCCTAGTTCGTAGGTAAACTTGGTCGTTCCAGATGGGATATTGACTTTGATAAGATCTGTTTTGGGGTCCTTGGATGCGCCGTCATCACTGGGTGATCCTTGGATCTTGGCCTGGGTGGCCCATCCTGGAACGCGAAGGTATAGTTGGAAGTCGACATCGCTGTCAACAGTATAGGACAAGGTATTGTCAAAGGGATAATCGGTTTGGCAGTCCACCGAGACCGCTTTCCCTTGAATCTGCGTCTGAATACGCCCTGGGCTCAGCAAGGAATGAAGGATCCCACTGTCTCCATTCTTGAGGAAGCTGTACATTGTAAACTTGGGATACCCTTGCGGGTGGTTCACGGTGCAGCATGGATAGTCAGGCTCAACTGCAAAGGTCTGACTGAGCGCATTGGTATTCCAGAATGGCTCGTCCGTGAGATTCTTCGAATATGGCTGATTGGGCTGGGTCACGTATTGATGGGCCCACCAATCTCCAGAGAGAGCAGCTGGAAGAGCATTAAATGCGGCCAGCTCGGCCCGATCTGCGTACGATGAATCGCCAAGCGCGAAGTAGTTGTAGGCGAGGGAGTAGATGGTTTCAACGTCGGTACATAGCTCGGAGCCATAGTATGGATTAAGGCCGTCTAGACGCTCATCGGCAAGGATAGTACCGGATGCCGCACCGTGGTATTTGAACGTCCAATCCACCTGCAATAAATTAGTGATAGTCATTCAAAGATCTCGACTTTTTGAGCACCTACCCCGTTCTTTGCGGTTGTGACAAGACTCTCGTTAGCATTCGAACGCCGGTAAACAGCTGCGAACTTCAGGCCTAGGAGATTCCATTTAGCATGAAGGCGATGACGAACTGTAATATGCCCGACTTACTCTCGGCAACGGTGACACCGTGCAGGAATTGCCATTGATCAGTCGTCACAGACTGAGGAAGATCGTTGAGATCTTCCGTAATGTAACTGCCCTCGGAGTACCATCCCTCCCATTTAGAAGCCCAATGGTGTATCATGTCAATGTTCTCCTTCAGGATCTCGGTCTGGTTACCAGGGTGATAATCCAGCAACCACTGCAGGCTGACAACCATATCTTCGCTCCGGGCCTGGAACCAAACATAGTCATCGGCAGTTACCTTATCACCCTGATGATAGATCATTCCAGTTCCATTATTCTTGAGCATAGAGTGCATGAGGTCATTGAAGCGATGAAGAGCGTCAACAATGGGCTGTTCATACTTTGGATCCGCATCAGCGAGATTGGTTAATCCGAGGAATACGAGGGTTCGTGCCCAAATCATCCGCTCGCCGCTTGCAAGCGTCTCTGGTCCAATCCATCCGTCTGGCTGGATACGGTCCAGAATGGAGTCGACGACGGTGGAAACTTGATCTTTCAGCCGATCATCTTGTAGGGTATAGGCGAGTGGGACTAATCCATTGACCCAATATGGGAGTGCCTCATTTAATGAACTGTATTCTCAACAGTCAGCCCGGCGTTCTAAGCCACAGTGCACGTCATATTCACCTGTACTCTTGATCACCACCAATCCATGTAGAGTTTTTCACAAATCGGAAGAAATCAAAGAGATGACCTGCAAGACCATCGGCAGACGCCTGAAGCTCGATTCGTAGCCATCCGTTCGGGGTGATGCTGCCGAGTGGGAAAGGTTCATATGCGAAGGGGAGCACTATATACGCTTATTAGAAACGATCCTTTCTTGAAAACAATCTTTCGTACTCACGACCAGAGGAGGTTTCGCTCGTGCTCGCAAGGCCAATGTTCGCTAGTGGGAGCACGGCAAGGACAGTGCCGCGGAGCCGCATCTTCGCAAAGACCGACTAGTTCGGTGCTGAGATAAATTATCGACGGGATGAATGATTCAACTGTCATCGATTCATCGTCAATTTATAAATCTCTGCGCTTTGAGCTTAACAAATTTCCTAAATGAGATAATTGCAAGGGGTCTGATGGTGAGGGGAAATGTAACATTGAGGTGAGGCCGTGCGGTAATTGCCGATATCTTCAGGTCTTTGGTATGCAGATCGGCGGAGCAAACACTGAGCACAGATTGAATCATCTCGTGCCATCGGTATTTTGCCTAAAGGGATTCTCCGAGAAGATGTTGAATTCGATTTATACGGAACGGAGCGACGGGGCCGAGAAAGTTAAACTTGTCAACGAATAGATTGTGTAAGACTCCAGGGCTGTTCAACCTCTATCGAATTGAACTGACGAAGACGATACTCATAGCACATGCCTCGTCTGGATTGTTTAGGGTGGCGGGAACATCAATATTGCGCTCGCTTATATGGTGTAGATTTGTACACAAAATTCCAGAAGAGTAATCCCAAAAACTCTGTATTTCTATAATTATAGACAAGTATTCAAATCATACACATAGCCGACCGAGACCGGCATTTCTCATGTTCATAAATTCCACATCAAACACGAATGACGGTGCCATTCTCCTTGCGAGCAAATTCAAGGAAGTCCTTGAGATCATTGTGCTGGGGCTTGCCAACCACGAAGACCGCAGGCTTACCATAAGGAGCGGCAACACGAACCGTCTGGCCACCCTCATACTTCTTCCCACTCCAAACGTGGGTGAAAGTCTCCTTCCCAGGCAGGTAGACCTCAACGCTAGTGCGACCAGAGTCAACAACAGGAGCAACATACAGATCAGCACCAAGGTAGAAGCTCTCATAGCTAATGCTCTTCGCCTTGACATCATTGGGGTGGTAGATGACAGGCATACGAAGCAAAGGCCAGCCAAGGTTCTTGCTCTCGGTATCCAAGATTCTGCGACGGTAAGTCGCCAGACTGCGGAACATGCGAGCATTGTACGCGTAGTAAGCGTAGGTGGTAGAGTTGGAGTAGAACTGGGCGTTCAATTGGGGAACATTTCCCTCGTGCGAGCGGAAGACAGCGCTAGAAACGGCAGACAGTTCTCCCCAGCGACCCAGAAGCTCGGCGGTACGGTTGACAACCCCACTCTCGAGCCAGGTAGTAGTGTATCCACCGATCTCGACGTGGCCATGAGCAAAGCCGGAAAGACCCATGTGGCCCATGACAGTGATGGAGGACTTGATTCCGTCGTTCAGGCCCCAGTTGGTGTTCTGGTCACCGGCCCAGTAGAGGTTCATGTAGCGCTGAGATCCCAGGGCGGACGAGCGCTGGAAGAGGATAGACTCCTTGAAGCTGGAGACGCTCTTTGTGAGCGAGTGGTGCAGCTTGGGCCAGTCGCGGGGGTACTGGTTGTGGTAGAACATCGGGTCGATGCTCTTGTTGTAGAAGCGGGTGTCCTTGGTAACGGGAGTGTATTCACCAAAATCACACATGTAGCCTGAGACATTCGCGCTGAAGACCTGGTCAATAAGAACATCACGGAACCAGCTGCGAGCGGCGGGGTTGGTGAGATCAACAATCCCGGCATCAATACCGGGACCGCTGGATACGATGGATGTGTCGTTGGTAGTGGCATTCTGGATCATGTATCCCTTCTCGCTAGCCTCAAGGAAGAGGTCGCGGCGGTAGCCGTCAGGCTTGGTGCTCACGTTGGCGAGGAAGGGGTTGATATAAGACAGAGTGCGGACGTTGTGCTGATCGCGGAGCTCCTGGACAAACTTCTTCCAGGTTGGGTAGAGCTTCTCGTCGGACTCCCAGTTCCACCACAGGCGGGAGACGGTGAGAGACATGTAGGAGACACTCTGGGAGTGAGTACCAGACCTATTTGACGTTATTATGGAGGCATCATCTAGCTGATCAAGGGGTATCTTACCAATCCTGAAGCCAGACAGCTGCGATAGGGCAGTCCTGCTTCAGACCTTGGTCGACAATTCTGTTCACCTTAGTCTGACCACCCTGAATACCGAGGACGGCACCTATTACATGATTAGAACGTCTTCAAAAAAATTGTAAGGAATCTGGAAGGGACCCACCAGTGTCCACCCAACGGGGAAGCTCGGCCATTCTTCCAGTGTACTCAGTCAACTTGGTGATACCATCCAGCATGTTTTCAGCTTGGATGATGTAACCGTCGACGGACCGGGCCGCATAACGCACGGTGACGGCCTTCAGATCCTTGAAGTCGAACTTGGTGTATGCAGTGCTCTCCTCGGCGAGGTGAAAGACACGAGCGAGGGAAGAGATGTACTGAGGAACAGCGGAGTAGGTGGTGAATTGGTCACCACCAGAGAAGTAGCTATCCGCATTCTCAAGATCAGTGGTAGGCTGGTCACCACGACCAACACCCTGCTCGCGGGAGAAAATTGGAACAGACTGGTTCTTCATCGAGGCGAAGGAACCCTGGCCACCGAGTCCGTAGAAGTCCTCGGACTTTGAGGAGGCGTAGGTGAGGAACAGCTTGGTGGCGGCATCCTTAGAGGAACCGGGCTTAACATCGATATGGAAAGCAATACGGTCTGACAGCTCAGCAGGCACCCAGACAGCAAATTTGAAGTCGACCGACTCGTCGCCACAACCGGAAAGAGTTCCCTCAACGATGGCAGCCTTGTCGTTGACACTGCCACTCCAAGCAGACTGAGTAACACGGCGAATGTGCTGGTCGGTGCACTTGTCGTTGTCAACATCGGTGATGTTGAATGCACCACTTGCGCCGACGACCTCGTCAACTCCAGAGGAGGCACTCAGGAAAGGCTTTCCAGCAACAGTCTCCCAAATGGAACTGTTTCCACGAGCAATAGACAGGTGGTTAGAGTCTTTGTCAACAGTCAAATCAAACCCATTACCCAGGTTCAACGAGGCTTTCGCCGCCAGGGCGGGCACGACGATAGTCGCCCAGATCCAAGCCTTTGGTCCAAACATCTTGCAGCGGCAGTTTTGGTTAAAAAGCAATAAGCAGCGCGACCCTGGTCGTAGTATTTAACTCCAGCTCATGCTTCACGCAACCTTCTAAATTCCTCCGAAACTGCCGAGATCCCAACTACACGCCGGTCCACTATGGAGAAATCCCCGTCAACGGCGTTCACTAATCTCTGGATGACGGACAGGGACAGACAATTTCGGGAGGTCTTCAATGACGATCGTCTGCACGGCCTGGTGTCGTTGGCTGTTTCTCCAGACTTATCCCCACTACTTCGGATCCACTCGGGTCGTATCGAGCAACCGCTCGGTAAAAGTCCGGCTCATCGTCTAAACGCATTGCCGCACCCCGCGTTCTTCAATGATTCGGAGTATCGGGGCATGCAATTGAAGTGCAGAATATTCCGTGAAGAACCTGATCGTGAAGATATACCCACCCAGATCTATTCCTAGCCACGATTATGCGGAGGAAAGGGTCGAGGAAATCGGCATCTCGCCTCGTGCCGAAAAACTGTGGGGACTCCACATACTTGGCGGAGCGAAAGTGACGCACGAGGCACGCTATAAGCGCTAAAATGGCAAAGAAAAGACCCGACAAATGAGTGTCGACTAAATAATCACGGTGGACGCGGAGAAATTGACTTTGCGGCGAGATATCGGGCCTGCAGCTGTTTCCTCATTCTTGCCCGGGATGCCGACATCCATGCTTAAATTAAATCACGCCATCAGATCGGCCCATTGACTTTAATTGGGCAAGCTATACGGAGTATGTAAAGATAGCCTCTCATAGAAACGTACAGGTGGTTAATTATCTGGGGTATTCGATCAAAATTGTTGCTTATGGTCCTTCTTTGTTCGGACTAGCGTCAGGTCCAGTTTCATGTATCGAACATTTTCTGTGCCTGGGAACTGCTCAAATGATCATCCTCTGTTTAACCAGACAGGGCGTGTGCCCCAGGTTGTTGGGTCTCCGCTCATCTCAAAGTCGATTCGGGTCGAGCCGACAATATCACCGTGTTTAATAATAGGCGAGGCAATACGCTTCCCATCGATCTTAAGGCTCTTGATATATGGCTTGCTGGGGGCCCCGGGCGCGCTTATGACCAGAACGTGCTCCGATTGCTTGGTTTCCCTACCTCCATTTGCGGCACCGGTTGGTAGGCGGATCGATACCTTCTCGAAAAATGGGGTACCGATAACATACTCGTCGCTAGCAGGATTGACGGGGTAGAAGCCGAGTGCAGTAAACAAATACCAAGCACTCATCTGACCCAAATCTTCATTCCCGCCAAGGCCCCCGCTAGTGGCATTGTAATTTGACCAAGCAATTTCGCGAATGGTGTCTGCGGCTTTTTCGGGGTAGCCGAGCATGGAGTAAAGGTAGGGAATGTGGTGGCTAGGCTCGTTTGTTTGATCATTGTGCCCGCCTTGGAAGTATGTATCCATCTTCTTGGCCATGGCTTTGGGTCCACCAAAGAGCTCGGCTAGACCCTGAACATCATGCATGACATCGAATGTGTAGACCCAGTCATCTCCTTCTGTCCAACCCCAAGTGTTATTGGCCCAGCTACCGTTCGCATTTCGAGCCTGCATGAACTGCGTCTCATTGTTCCAAATATGCTTGTAGTTACCACTGCGGGTGCGTAGGGCATCAATTGCGGTCTGCTCAATGCCTGCATGCTGAGCAACAACTGAGCATGCGAAGTCATCGAAAGAATAATCCAACGTGCGACTTCCGGCTTCGGACCATCCATCGTTCGATACCCATCCTTGCTTCATATAAGCGGTCAGGCCCGCGCGGGCCTCGGTAGGGGTAAAAGGCTCGCGATCATAGTACAGGAGCTCCGTATCATGATCGGGTGGAGTATAGGCATCTTTCCTCACAGCCTCCCATGCTTTGGAGATGTTGAAGTCGCGGAACCCTCGCTCGAGCGCGTTGGCGAGCACTGCATCTGCATTGGTTGCGATCATAATGTTCGTCTCAACGACATTGGCCCACATGGGCAGCCAGCCTGACCAGTCGAAGATGCGAAGCAGAGATCGCATCATGCTGTTCACTCTCTCGGGTGCAAATAGTGTCAAAACGGAGTGCTCGGCCCGGTAAGTGTCCCAGATAGACCATGACTGGTAGTATGAGTCGTCGCTTGTGTGTACACTATCGGTGTATCCGGAGTAGAAAATCCGCGAAGACTTATCGGCATCGGAAAGCGGTTCTGAATAGTCACTCGGGTATTGGAGAGAATGAAATAGCCCGGTATACCAAATTGCGCGAGGGTCTTGATCTGGGTCAGTCTTGTTGACTCCCTCAATCGTCACCCGACCGAGCTTTTCGAGCCAAGCTTGCTTCACGTCATTCACAGTGTCTTTGATCGTTGAACTGGTCGGAGTCTCGATTTCAAGGTTCCTGCGCGCCTGCTCGATGCTAACAAAGGAAACACCAGTGCGAACTTCCACTCCAGTCGTATCCTTCTGGAATTTGACATATGCGCCGGTGAAATTGCCAGTTCTTTCCAGAGCGCCCTCAGTTTCGTTCCCGTTCGTAACACCTTGCGCGACAAAGGGCTCTGAGAATCGGGAAACGAAATATCCTTTGAACGACGGGGCGTGATCGGGTCCCAGTAGATAGTCCTGACGCTCTGTGTTATACCCATAGATTTCCCTTCGGTTAGTATCGATATGCACTTCTCCAGTCCAATTTCTGCGAGAAACTTGAACAAAGACCCAAGGAGAGACTTTCTCGTCGTCCGGTGTATTTTTGTCTGTCTGAAAATCGAATCGAATATGGCTGGCATGAGACTTTGCGGATAAAGCGACCTACGGCATAGTGCATTAGAACTTGCGGTTCGAAGGAAGAAATCTCCAGTATGACACCTACCTGAATCGATCGCTGGTACTCCGCCGCCTGTTCATTTCTGCTGTCCAATGTATTCTGCTCCTCGTGGCGCTTTCGTACCCGGCCATTGCTCCCTTCCTGTACATCACTTGGCACTGCGCCAGCACCACCAGGATCAGGCCCATCACCCGCCACTTCAGCCGTGGCATTCCAGTCGCGATTCATCAACTGGGTCGCGTCTAGAAGCACCTCATAGACATAGGGAGTGCTCCGCTCGTCACTTTTCCGAAAAGCAAGTCCTCGGTTCTGAAATAAAGGTTGCACATCACCCATTCCCGGGGTTATCACCACTTGGCCAGACTCCCCCATCCAGATCGCAGGTTGGTGAGTCGCCTGGAAGCCATGCATCAGACGATCACTCGCGCCGTAGGGGACCTGCGAGATGAAATTCTCGCGCGTTTGCGGCGTCCAGCGCGTCATTCCAAATGGTGTTGATATCGACGGGATCATGCCTCCGTTGCCATTGGGGGTTGTTCCATAGGTACCGATCATGGGATTGACGTATTTCAGGACTCCAGCATCGTCATGGTAATTAGGTTTGTCCTGATTAATCGGCTGGGCTGCGACACTCCCAGCAAGGAGAGTAAGGGCAGCAGGACGACCATGGTGGTAGCGCGATCGCGTGGTCGTGGTCGGTGATTCTCGAGGTTGCGCGACTGAATTAAAGTCAGATTCTTCCATTCTTCAGGTGCTTTGGTCCCTCCATGGGCTTTTAAAGCAAGCCACCGGCATTTGATGGGGGCGTGTGGGGGTGGGGAAGGGAAAGGGAAAGTTCAAGGGGAGCGTGCAGTGGGTTTTGCGGGGTCAGCGTTGCATCTGGCGGCCCCAAATAGGAACGGAGTATAGTACTGGTACCAGTAGTAATAACTATCACAGACTGGCGCTTCCAAGGTTCAAGTTCCCGGGTTTAATATCCCGTTTCTAGAACTGGTAGAAATCAATTGCCGGATCGACATTCTTGCATGATTACGCGATTATGCTTAGTTAGTCTATACTAGTAACTATCAGCAACTACCTCTAGTTTCTATACAACGATCTTTTATACTAGTAGTAGGTAAACGCCCAATCTTGGATGATAAGAAGCTCAGAAGATGATTGAAAATTCAAGGACATCCATCCGTCGAGAGTGAAAATGCCACCATGTTGATCATGGCCAGGTAGTATATATTTGGCCCGGGCTACTTCTCCGCTCGGATCAAGCTTCCAGACTAATAGTAGTAACACCACCCAAACTCCCTTCAAGTTTAAATCCTTGAATCTTCTAAGATTGGAAGAAGAAGAATGATATCCCATCCATATTGCAAATTTCTATTTTTCTAGCCCAGGTTCACGGCAACTTTGAGAATCGGTGTATGTTACCTTGGTGACCAGGTATACTTCACAAGTAAACAATGGTCACGTGTTGCTTTGTTTACTCGCAAAGAAGGCCCTGGAACCTTAACTCCCACATCTGATACAAGAAACTTGAATGTTTTCCAAAGTGTATATAGTATTAGTAGTACTGTATAACTGCTTGTATTCTGCTGCCTGCGATCGACATTGGCAATCTACCTAGTAGGTGAACAGGGCTGAAACAGAAAAAGAACCTCGGCGAGCTAAAATTAGGCTTGAGCCACACACTAAACCCGATTAGCCATCTGCCAAGCCACACACGGGGCTGCGCGTCTTCCATTCCGCGCGTCCTTGATCGTTTTACATCTTTCATCCCTCGTTAAATTTGGCACTGGCTCTCTTTTGCGACTTCATTTTCTTTTCACAGCTGATTTCAAGCGTTTATACACCCTCAGTCACCACAGCATACTCCATCCACCATGCCAGCGTTATACCAGGCGCTCGGGCAACGAGCCGTCGAGGCGGCCCCGCATTTAGCGAAACGGGGTTTATCCGTCAACCATACCCAAAGTATCACTCTGGGTATTATGGCCGTCTATGTGGTGGTCATCGCCTTGCTATGGAATCTCCCTTATGTCCGTTGGGTTCTTTGGCCCTTCAAGGTAAGCCCCTTTACTTCTCTCTTCTCTCCCTTCTCAGTCCTTCAAGTGGCTGCCTGATCTGACCATTCCGAGTAGATGTTGGTCATCGCATTCCATGAGTTTGGCCATGCCATCACCGCCTGCTGCACCGGTGGCAGAGTTAAATCAATCAGCCTGGATCCTCACGAGGGTGGTGTTACCCACATGCAAGGAGGAATGAGCGCCATTACCCTCCCCGCTGGTTATCTCGGTTCATCCATCATCGGCGCTCTCCTGATCTTCGCCGGCTTTGATATCGTCGCTTCGAAAGTAGCCAGCATTGTCCTCGGTGTCTGCTTCCTGTTGACTTTGTGGTGGGCCCGACGGGACTGGCTGACTATCATGACTGTTCTTTTGGCCGTGGGATTGCTTGTGGCTTGCTGGTTCATTGCCCACGGCGAGGCTTTACGATGGGTCGTCGTACGTTTGAAAGATTCTAAGAAGTTGTTCTCTTCTGCTGGACCTGTGCTAATCAAAACTGAATAGCTCTTCATTGGTGTCATGTCCGCCCTGTATAGTGTTTGGGATATTGTATGGACCCGTCCCCTCTCACCAATTATTGACCCCCAAAGCTAACATGAACATCTCCTAGTGCGATGATCTCATTCTGCGCAAAGTAAACAGCTCCGACGCCAGCGTCTTCGCTAAGAGATACGGAGGATCCTCTCAGTGCTGGGGTGTCATTTGGTCCATCATCAGCTTGTGCTTCATGGCGATCGGCATCATTGGCGGAATCGCAGCCTTCCCCGAGAGCTTTGCTCAGCAGGAGAAGGACTCGCAGCATTTCATCCCGACCTAAAGATAAGGCAATGGGATCCGACAATGATGAAACGAGCCCACGACTTATTTTTATTTATTCATTTCTTGTACGATCGGTGTTGGTTTGGAATGGCAATTCGTTGTGTTTCACTTTACTAGGTACTTGCGAAATATACCCAAATGCGAAATGAACTTGAACTTCAGATCCCGTATTCTCTCTACTTACTACGAATGAACTGCAAATTGCACCTATGTTAAGTAATCCTGGTGGCAGCCTCGTACTTCCAGTGAATCTCGGAAGTTGCAGTCTCCTTTTCTCCCCAAAAGAAACATCGACCTCTCAACTCCCTCAGCTGCCATAAGCCATGGCTAATATGTGTGCTTGTCAAGCTCAGTTGATAACTCGGGGCCATGTCGAGTGGGAAATGCCCTCAAGCTGGAAAACAGTTCCCGCCTTGAGGATGAATATACGGCGGCTCCTGTTTTCTTTTAGTAAGTCAGAGCATTTGGAAAGAGAATTGCTTGCAGTTTTGGGGTACCGCTAACCATTCCGCCAGGCGCTAAAGGAGATCTTGCTGTTAAATAGATCAATTTCGATCTACTTTTCTGGGTTAAAAGGGGCAGAACATACTCTATCGTCATGTTTGATAAGTGGGAATACTCACCATTGTAAAAGAGATCGCCTGCTCAAGCCAGAGGAAAGGTGGTGCTCATCTTGCAGTGTCCTGGACACCAACCTCAATCTATATTCCATGTTCAATGTTCCTAGTTCAATGTTGATTGTGATTGGCTGGTGGCGGAGTCAGCCTCGGCAACGCGGAATGCGCGGGAGCGTGGAATCCGCCATTCTTCCTCCTCCACCATTTACACTTACACTTGCACTTGCACTTGCAATATACCATCAGCTGCCACTCAGCAGCCATGGACACCCCTCGATCAGAAACAATTCAGAGTCGAAGGAAACGACTCTCCTTGATCCCCAAAGCCGTGAGTCGTGATGGCCGCTGTTGAAGGGGAAAAAAAAGCTGACCAGGAACTCTCTCACAGTGTGAAGGATGCCGCACTCGCAAGGTATACTTCTTCCAATCCTTACTGAAACCCCACTGTCTAGAATGGGAAACTGATAATCTGGTCTATAGATTCGTTGCGATCGCACATTCCCGTGCTCAAACTGCCTCACAACTGGGATCTCTTGTCAAAAGTCCGACCGGAAAGAATCCCCGAGGTCCGATCGAATGCTGCACATGTAAGTGAAGAATCGACATTGCGCTTCGAGTTCTTGACTGACAAGGTGTCCCAGGAAGAACGCATGCAGCTTTTGGAAAGTCGTCTCCGAAATGTGGAAGCGGAGTTGGCCCAAAGACCATCGCCGGGAAATCTACCCAGTCATGCACCGAACAATAGCATTGACAAGACCAGCCCCGGGGAAACAGGAACCGAAAGTGCTCCAACTCCCCTCTACGAAGGCGAGTCTTCATTCGCCAGTCAATCGGCCGAGGCTAAGGAGATTGTGGAGAGATTTGCACACCCTAATCGTGGGCCTGATGCTTCAAGCTTGAGTGCAACTCTGGACTCAATCAATAGTCTCCTTGGTTCTAATCTGCAAAACAAGCCACTTCTCAATGAAACGAGTACACTTTCAAAGGCTACTTTCTTACCGCTGCCTGCTGAAATGATCGTCACAATGCTCCGGAGATTCCAAGGTATGGTCCTGTCCAATACGCTCCACCCAGTAGCTACCGGTAGGCTGACTTTCCCAGTACAAAAGCCTCTATTCTTGACCTCATACCCAATCAACAATCCCTTGCTGGTAGAGCAGCTCTGTCAAAGAGTATACTTTCCCACGCGAAAAGTATCCGTTGGGGATATTGCGGCTATGCATGGGGTTCTTTACTTCGTGTTAAAGGAGTGTATCTGCACCAAAGATATTCTGTGCGAGCAGTTTGATCTCAAGGCGCATCTAAAAACATGCAAGGAGAGCTTTGAAGCGGGCCTGATGACTGTCGAAGTTCTCGCGGTGCCTAGCTTCGAGAACCTTCTGGCATTGGCCATGGGAGTAAGTTGAGAGGCCCAAACCCAAAGTCAAGCCTGGAATGATGCTTGCTAACACTTCGAGTGCAGGCAATCAAGGCTCAAGATGAGGCCAAGCCAGTACTAGGGAGCAACCTGGTTGCAAGTGCCGCACAGCATTGCCAGATGCTAGGCCTCCATCGTGAATCCACCTACCAAAGGGACGACACCGGTAATGCGGATGGTAAGCGTCGCTTGTTCTGGACAATCTATATGATGGATCACACCGCGTCCTTGTTTCTGGGGCGAGCATCGTATATCCCCGATTTCGATATCGACTGTCGATATCCTCCTCTTTCCGAGAATCTAGCTGTTCGCCCATGGGATTCGGCTTTCATCTTTATCGTCAAGCTCAGCGAAATACAGGCAGAGATATACAATCAGCTATACTCGGCACAGGGTCTGAGAAAAGGACAAGCAGAACGCATTCGGTGCATCAATGATCTCGAACTAGCTCTGCGAGAGTGCAACAGGGGTCGAAAAGAGGTGAGCCGAAATTCTTTCCCATGTGCAAATTTCATCTTTGCTTACCACTCTCCGCGACGACAGATAACTCCAGACCATGTTGAAAACAAAGAATTATTCTATATGTGCGATCGAATTTGGGATTTATCATTCTACTCTACACTCACCACAATGCTCCGTGCATCATTCACGGCCAGAATTGGTGGGGAAATCGAGACGCGATGCCTTGAGGCTGCACGCTTGAGCTTGAACAGCCATCTGCGGTGCTTCTCCGACTACCAGCAGTCAAGCCGGTTTTCAGTCGCCGATTATGCCAATTGGTTTGTCATCCCCTCTACTGTCCCTTTTACTATCTCCATTGTTACTTACTAATGCTCGCTCACGTCTCAGGGTCCTGCTCTACTCGTCGTTCACCCCCTTCATCGTGATATTTCTCCACATTGTGGCAGCGAAGAGTCGCGTCGACCTCGACATATTGGAAACCGTGGTTAATACTCTACACCCCATACAGGCTGTCTCCGATGCCTCGGCGCGGCTTTACAAAATCTGTTTTGCCTTCTCTCGGGTAGCCCGAGGCTTGGTCGACGATCAAAGCCCATACGGTGGGAAGCCGACCGCAGAAAAAGACTCTTCGCAGTTACCAAATGGCCCACGCCAAGAGATAATGCCATCCCTCGAGTCATCGCAAGGATTTCCTGTCGATATGATGGACTACTTGACCTACCCGGAGGCACAAGACATCAATGCGATCCTGGATACCTGGGATAATGGCCAACCGTCTGTGATGGACTTGTTCGGATTTGAAATGACCAGGTCTTGAAACTTTCAGCAGCGGTCCCGAAACTCAAATATCAGCACAGAACTGTCTATCATTTTCTCTGCCAATGTGACCGTGCCAAGAGTGATTCCGCCCCATCGAATGACTTCATCGAGCGGGGCGGAGCGGGCGCAATCTGACCCGCCCCCAATCTGATTCTCGATGGTTTCTTCTAAGAGGGCACGAGATCGCATGGACTTCGGCGGAATTTCGCTAAAGCTTTTCAAATTACACCTTCCCTAACGCAATCATGCCTAGCAACCAAAGCGAATCAACATTAGTGCCCGAGACACCAAGCGACAGCAAAGTCAACAGATCACAGGAGCAACAAGCTGCTGCCGCCGCGGCCGCGATGAAATGGGGCATTACTCCTTCGAAACCCTATGACCCAAACGAGAAGCCCGGACCAGATCATCCCGTGCACAAAATTCCACTTGAAAAGCAAGAGAAAATGCGGAAGAAGGGGATCAACCCTGTTCTTCGCGCTGAGATGGACGAATCAAGGAAAGGACAAGGTGGTTTCTGGGGAAAAGTGGCTCAGACTTCGATGGGAGGGGGATGGATTAAATGAATGATTCACTGGTATTCTATGTTTATTCCATGTGACTTTCACTAGAGACTGGAATCTAATAAGAATGCGCGGTGTGTGTGTGTGCTCCGAACCATCTGAAGCTTTCCAGGGCTATAGTAATATCTACACTTTCCATTACTACACACGTACAAAAAGTTAACAACCTCTTCTACAACAAGATCTCATAGGTATAAACTGTCCCTGAACATTGATCTATCTGTGGACTGGTGAACACTTAGACACTTAGTGCCTTGACAATCTACTCCATGGCCATATCTGACAGATTGTCTCTTTTCACCGCATAGACAGCCTTTTTAGGCTTACTGGTCAATTGCCTGTAATTAAGAATGCTCCAAAAGTCTTGTCTTTGGGAATCAAACCAATAATCCCACCAGATTTCACGATACCGAGCGGCATACTCGAAGCCCGAGAGCTCTATAAAGGTGAATATATCTTGGGCCCAAAGAAATCGTTCCCAGTCTCTATCATGAGTATATACTCGTGAGATTTGGACTGCACAAAGTATCAAATAATAAGCGAATGAGGTCATTCCTTTTTGCCCACTATACGGAAGACATCTGGCAGCTTTGTTGACATAGAATTTTAACAGGCGATGCGTCTCGTCCCCGTCATTTTGAAAAGAATCAGGGATGTCAGCCATAGCATGGATTCTGCATTGATAAATCAGAGGATAGACAGAGGAGAGAGAAACCCAGAAGAAAAGATGCAGCATGGCATCTTCAAGCGATGAAAAGCGATATGCAGGACCGAATAGATCATCTGTGGAACGTATGCCCGTTTTTAATTCACCACGGGAGTATGTGGGAGGCTCTCCATCGACATTTCGTTGAATTTGACTATAAAAGTCCATATGATGCCTTTCAAGCGCATAACAATCGTTTAACAGACATTTGTAAGCATTATGGTCAGAAATATCGGTGGTGCGAACGGCGGCAGTGATACGAGATATCTCTGTAAGAAACTTGACCATGCTAACCCACGGTCCGTCGAAATCAGGCTCGTTCAGCCATGTAATTGTCTCCTTGGATAGATGCCCAATCGATGAAAGTAGCTATTATAAGAATTAGAAAAAAGAATGACATGATAAATAGCAAAATTGAAAAAAATTATCATCTTACCACTTTCATTTTTTGATATCGGCCAAATATGGCAGCTATTATCGGGGTTGTACGCATCCTTTGGCGATAGTACATCATAATTGCGCGCAGCCCATCTACATGAGCGATCCATTGCCCGAGGGTGTTCGGACAATAGTGAGTCTAGGACCCTGTGAGCTACAACCCTTGCAGCTGAAAAGAAACAACGGAAGAGTTCTCACTTGAAGTTGCTGGAAAACAACACTGGTATAAACCATGTCATCAGTGTACACATTGCGACTGATTACATTTGACATGTAACAAATCGCACGGTTGTATAACTGAAGTCCATGCTGCAAGAACTGGCCATCGTGATGAGTCTTGCCCAAGAAAACGCAAGATAATGCAGACAAGGCTAACTCGAGCATCGGGCTCCTTTGAGGGAGCACGGATATGCCTGAAAGAATGAATTGTGACATATTGATATCAGAGGCGCATTCCACATTGCAAGGATAGCATTCACTCAAAAAGGACGAGAAGATCTGGCTACGCATCATCCGGGCGGAGGGGACAATCGGAGATAAGTTGGAGGTCTTTGATGGCGCCAATAGCTGTTGCCGACTGAAGTATTGGAGCTCGAGGTAATAGCTATCTTCCATCTTGTTAATACCAAGGCTCGGGCTGTGGGCAGATGGAGGTCTATGGTTAGTCACAGTCGACGCCGCCATCTTCGCCCTTTTTGCCTTGGAGCGCTCAATGGTACGATTGGTCTGGTCGCGGAAGACCATTTCCCATTCATCCCTGTACCCTGGGCATTTTTCGCGCTTGCGAGTGCACTGTCCACAACGAGGAAGCTGCTGGTCGCACTATTCATGGAAATGACTAAATCAGCCAGCCCTACTTGATACATGAAGAAAAACAAAGAAAGAAAAAACAGAACTGCAAAAAAGATAATATAAAGAGAGAAAAGAAAGAATTATACCCACCCGTCGCTTGACAGCCCGACAGTTGCCACAGCTCCTAGAGGCTCTTGGGCGAAACATATTGCATGTCGACATGATAGCCAACGTATCTGCTAAAGAGGTGGGCAAGAGGAAGTAGAAATAACAGAAAGAAGGAATTTTGAACTTCCGACCTGCTGGTTTACTGCAGGAAACTAATTATTAGTTTGAGCAATCCAACTGGGGGCCAAAAATGAGAACGGCTTCTCCTTAGTTGATAACCAACGACGTAATCCAACCCAGGGGAAAAATGGTGGAAATTAGTAGCGAATGAATATTGATTAAATATATAATAAGCATTTAAAAAGCTCTCAAGAACTTGAAGCGCCCGGAGAAAGACGGGCAATTTCACGCCTCGCTTCGTATTCTTGATACAAAAATACAACGCTAAATCCATTTCGCTTGAAAGGGGGGCCCCGTTGGTGGAACCGCCTCCAAGTTTTCTGGAGAGATGCTGCAAAGGTTATACGTAGGAATTGACTACATAAGAAGCTTAGATGTACGAGCCGAGTTAGCTTCGGATTTACTATAAATAGAGGCAAAACTGATTCTTAAGTAGCCTGCAAAAAATCAAGGGCATCCTGCTGAGGTTGTCCACCTTAACGTTCACGTCAGTATCGAGCGCGATTCGAAGTGTGGGTTCTCGGACCAAAGGGCTCCGTTTGTTGATCACAATTGCTTCGCTTTGAGAGCTGAGCAAGCTCTACTACTCGCATGGCGCACTTTGCCTCATTGCAGGTGCTCCCTCGGACCATAAATTTAGAAAACGTGCATTAGGTCTACTATGTCACGCGCCACCGACTTCATCTTGCGGCTCATGGGTGATCGCTATTAACCCCACCTGTAGGTAAAGGCCTGCTTAGGGGTACTACTTTTGCTATGATTGGTAATAACTATGTTTCTTCGCAGTCGTAAAGTCTTCATAAAAAAGTCTTGGGATTAAAGATCTTGCTGTCAGATAACTTTGTTACCTTGAAGAGGGGTATGAAGAAGGCAACCAACTTCTTTTCAATACTCAGCCTTCTCATGCATTAGGATTATAGAGGATTTGTGTTACCAGACTTATCATAATTAAGATTTATGGGAAGCTTCTACCTACTCTCGGCAGGGCTAAAGCCTAACGGGCATGGGGAGGGCTAGGAGAGATCACATCTAAAGAGCTAGTCCTTTCTAGGAAGGCGAGATGTTACGCCAATCAGTGCACGATCATGACCATGCAGAAACTGGTTATCGGCAGACCTTGAAAAGTCAGTACATAGAATACATAGCAATACTATGGTCGGGACGACCATATTGGCCAAAAGATACAGTCGTCCCCACCATATTACTCCATCAATATTGTATTTCCATCAGCTTCAAAATATTTTAGTGTATTGAAAACGTGTCAACCTACCAAGCAACAGGCTAGTAGGCACCTACGCGCTCTTGCCTTAGGTATATATCTACGTGACTACTAACTAACTAGTACTATTAGTAGTAGTGCTCTGAGTACCATTTGGAACTACTATCTTCCAAGGTTACCTTTACAAATATTCTCTTCAAGTTCCTTCCGAGTTTTTGCACCTAGGCAGTATATCTATAGATTCGGATGTTACTTTTCTTGTTACCCACTAAATTAGATATCTAGACCTTGCTAACTTTGATCTCTAGATTTTGTTTCGGCAGCTCGCGTTGCTTTGGTGGCACGCGTTTTGAATACCCTCACTTTTTTTTCTGTTACCCGCAGGTAGTGGAGGATCTCCACCCGCAACCCTCATATTGTGGATTGTGGGTAGCACTTTATTATACAAATAGGAATCAATCACAGGCTTATCAGATAGTTAGGAGAAAGGCAGCAACTGTTGAGGCTTGCGGCCTCAGGCATATCGGGTGCCGCCCCACAACTCTTTGTCAGATAGCACTAGTTTCCTCCTACATCACACCCATCCCAATATACACCTATTATCATCTCATCTGATGGAGCTGCATTTTGACAAGAACAGACGATCTAAGAGGTAAAAGAACATGGAACGTCTCAGCGAATTACCAGCAGGGTGTTGACCTTAAGTATGAATGAGTCGAAGCAGGACATCAGAGTCTGCTATACTGCAATCAGCACACTAGCATCCTAGTCTCTTGGCTCCAGCCCTGCGCAGTTTCCCCGGAATCCATGGGCAACAATGTCCGTGGATAAAAATCACGTAATTTGATCTGGGGTAAAGGCTTGAGCGCGGCAATTGCCCATTCGCATTTGCAATGGGCTCGAACGTGGTGCTCAACAGCCGCAAGGGGCCGGCCATTCTCCGGATACCTCGTATTTTCTTTTTTAACTTCGCCATGGAAATTCGGAAGACGTCACAAACCTGTCGATATTTGCACGACTGGGTAGGTTCTGTCCCATCTCTGGGCAACCGACCACACGCAAAGGCCTTTGTCGAATATACCAACTATCATTTTCCTAATCCCTGCTTGAGTTTTCTCCCCTCTTGTCTTGTCTATTCTCCAATGTTCCGAGAACTCCCTGGTGTACCGAAACAAGGCCCGACGACGATCCTATAAAGCCAGGAATCCTACTCAATAGGATATCTCCCCATTGGGAACCCAATTCATCTGTGCAGAGAAGCAGCATAACTTAGACAACGGCCCGCTGTACTCAAGTAAGGAGCAAAGATAAAGTGAAAGTTTTGCAAGAGGTCCGCAAGATGTCCATATTAAAACAAAAACTGCGACCTCGGTTCGCGAATTCGTAACGGGTAGGCGAGTATTGAATCGCCCTCAGCAAATACTTCTCAAGTGGGTGAACACTGCCATCCATCCTGTAGCGACACCATTTATGGTGTCATAAATGCAACTCAACAGACCGTTTTTAAAGAGGAGGGGATGAAAAAGCCGTTGAACGAATACTTGACAAGGCCAGCAGATCTGTTTGAAGTCGTTGAAGTCGACTGTTGAAAGACATCATGAAAGGTAAAATCCCCCAGTAATGGTTCTGTCCACTTTAAATCGTCGACTCCGACGGGGGTTTTTTTTTCTTATAATTTTCCAACGATTCTCGGTAATCATGTGTTTCCAGGATTCTCAATTACATCAGTTCAACTACCTCATTAATAATTTCAAAGTTCGGCTTAGATCGATATTGCTCAACTCCTTTCAACGACCTTTTTGGAGAATCATTTCTACAGACGTTCCACGGTGAAAAGAGAGGCTGGTGAAAAGAGAGGCTGGTGAAAAAGAGAGGCTGGTGAAAAAGAGAGGCTGGTGAAAAAGAGAGGCTGGTGAAAAGATCTAGTTGATTTAGTTGACGCCCATCTTTGAAGACGTCATTCGTATAAACATCTCTCAACGATGCCTTCACTTACTTCGAATAGTTGACTCCAATAACCTCTTTTGGCAATTTCGTTTAACAACTTCCCAAAAGTTCTCTTTCAACGATACCTTTTATATCCATTTCGATCCGCGGTATGACCTCCACGTTGACGTGACGATGCCATGCCACGAAACTCACTTAGCCCTCAAGGCTATGGTGTACCTTTTTGCTGAATGAATCTCGCCTACATGTTTTTGGTGAATGGGCGCCGCGACTCGCGCTATGGTCCAGCCGACAAGGCTGGGAGCAATGAAGCAGGAATGCAGGACCGCACCGAGTTTGAAAACACAGATTTCTGTTACGTCCTCTAGAGGAATCGATGGGCGAGGTGGCATTTTGCGCTTCTTATGAGGCGTGATGGAAGAGTAGCAACCGGGGATAAGACGCCTACAAAGTTCTCTGAAGACCCCTACTCTTTTGTGTTAATATTGCACACATCATACAAAAACGAACTCATTTCGTCCACTCCATGAGTCTGAGGTTATCATCTAGTGCGAAGATTTCTTTTCAAATTTATTTTCGAACGACCAGATACCCTTGTACACAGGAACGCCATAAGATTGAAACCTTTACAAGATTTAGAGTCATCTTACAGCTCCCGTGTGAAAGGATTATCCACGGGATAACATGTGGGCTATAGGCAAGATCAGCCAAATACACTCTACGAGACCTCTAAGGAGACAGGAGGTTGGAGCGTAATGGGTCAGGCTGTTTTCTCTAGTCTCTGTCTTTGTGGTTTGGCCCCTCAAAGTTTTACCTTCGGAGTTCTTGACGTGGGACGAGAATGAACGTAGCTTAGTGCGCTGAAACTCTTTACAGCGGGTTTCACCAGCTCCCCTCTCAGAACGCCATACACATTTCCACAAGCTTTTGTCTTCCAACGGGTCGCCAACTGCATCGCCAAACTATCCAGCCCTTCTGGTTCCGCTACTGCATCGACAATGCCATCTTCTAAAGCCTCCCGGCCAGTGTACCGGTATGCCTCTAGAAGAATCTTGCGCGCCACTTGCGGAGACACTTTTGACCGGAGGAGGGAGCCCATGCCGTCAAAATGAAGCCCCAAATCAACAGGTGGCATACAGAAATATCCTCTGCGAGAGTTCATTATGCGGTAGTCGTGTGCTAGTGCAAATACACAAGCTCCCCCAAATGTATGGCCCGTGATACATGCGATAGTTGGGTAAGGAAAATCGAGCAGTGTGTGAATAAGCTAGAGCAGGAGAACTGGTTCAGTTTCGATTCCTTTGCATATTGCTCGATGGATAGTCTGCTTACTGGATAGAATCCATCAGAACTAGCAAATGGATTAGTCTCGCGTTCATCCAAATCCAACCCCTGAAGAAGAGAACATTGTTAGCTACTAAGTGTATCACATGCTCCCTAGTAGATGTCTAACCGTTGAGAAGAACTTGGTGTTACAGCCTCGCGTGATGACCGCTCCTTCCGCATCTGGTCCAAGCTGCTCCTGAATCTGGCAGAACGTTCGAATCAGTTCTTGACATAGTGCGGAGCTCAGCCGGTTCTCTGGAGCTTTGTGTAGGGTAATGACGAAGACGTTGCCGGCTCGATCAACGGAAAAATCAGACGAAACCATCTTCAAGAAGAGCAGTTGTTTTCTCCTCCGTTCCGTATTCTTTCGACGGAAATTCGAAGTAAAGAATGATGAGGTGCTGGTAACACACGGGCTCTCCAAGGACCGTGCTCAACTGGAGAATCGCCGAAATCCCTAGTGCTTCTTGGCATTGCCGGGTTTAATCCCGGACCAAAGACCGAGCTGAGGACTAACCGAAGCCCGAAAGTTAAACTGTATATCGTCTCTCTCAATCATCCTCGTGAGTGCGGTCAAGAATTGAATGACAGCTATGGCAAGCACCGTCAATCTCGAGTATCGCGGCCCAGTCGCAATCATCACTCTCAACAACCCGAAGAAACTCAATGCGCAAAGCAAAGACGGGTTCTACCAAGTCGCCAAATATCTCCGCGAAATCTCGACACGCGATGAAGTGAATATCACTGTACTGACAGGTGTTGGACGATACTTCTCAGCGTAAGAATTTTCCTGATACAGGGCATGTTAACAACACTAATGATCGCTAGAGGAGCTGATGTCTCTATTGCACGCGCCACGCCCCCTGGCACGGATGTTTTCCGCCACGGCCTGCAACACACGGTAGCCAATAACCTCAACATCACGCGAGCCTTTTACACCCATCCAAAGATCCTAGTGACAGCTTTAAATGGACCCGCTATCGGACTCGCCGCTGCACTGATTTCGTTCTCCGATTTCATATACTCAGTCCCTACAGCATTTGTAATGACACCTTTCAGCAGTTTGGGTCTGGTCGCCGAAGGCGGAGCAAGTTATGGATTCGTTCAGCGCATGGGAATCGCAAAGGCCAATGAAGCCCTGATCCAGAGCCGGATGATCCCAGCAGACCAATTACTCAACGTGGGATTTGTCAACAAGATCATCTCACCAGAAGCATTTTTGGAGGATGTCTTCAAAGAGATTGATGATACAATGGGATCTCACTTGGTTGGCTCAAGTATGACGAAAATTAAAGCTTTAATTCGGCTTCGTCAGAGGCGCGAGATGGATGAGCAGAATGTTGCGGAACTATTTGGGGGATTGGACAGACAGGCTCAAGGTATTCCTCAGGAACAGTTTGAAAAGATTCGGACTGGTACGAAGAGACACAAACTATAGCTCAGACGCGGACAAGGCCTTCAGTCATCTGGAGAGCTTCAAAGAATATTATCTATATGTTGCCAAGTGAACGTACACGAAATACTATGACAGACGATAGGTGCCATCCAGGTAGCAACGTAATCAATACGGATTTGAGCGGGTTTATCATCCAGTTCGGGGGTTCTTACTATTGAGTTGCTGCTTTTCATCTGATGCCTTTCATAATCTTCGAGTGTTACGACTATGTACATATAGAAAGGGAAACCGTACATTTGGCGGGAGGTCGTAAGACAGGCATTCCTTTAACATAGTGGCAATACCAAAGACTAAATCTGAAAGACCAGAGATGATATCATCAAAAGAAATATTCTTTCTTTCTTCTATAGGTTTTTGCTAGAAATTCCTTTTAAAATACGTTTCTTTGCGGTTTAGAACTTTTTCTCATGGTCTTTCTTCCAATCCATCCAGCGACTAATAGGATTGTTGTAAATTTTTGCCACGGTTTTAGACTGGTAATTAGAATTGGTCGATTACAGTCTTGCGCTGCCAAATTCTTCTAGTGCATCTATCCTGGGAGGGTATAAGTCGCCATGCTGCAGATATTCGAGATGGAGGGAAAGGGCGTCGGTGATCGGTGGGATCAGACCCTCCTACTCCTCATACCCTCTGCCTCTGATAAACGCAAGACGTCTACTTATACTTTGAGGGGTTTGATTGACTGAGAGCTAGTTTGCCTATATACAACAGAACAAGAGGGCACCCTTCGTCTCTCCTGTCTCTGTATTGACAAAGCTGGGACAAATCTAAAAATTTTCGTTCTAATTCGCGGTGTCTGGGCTCATCATCTCTGCTAATTAAGTGGTCGAGAACTGATATCCTCTACCTCGGCGACACGGTCATCCTTGCTAGTGGCATGAAACGAGCCAGCATATTTCCTCTCCAGGTCCAGCAAATTGAGGTCACTATCCCTTGGTAGAGAACGTGCGTTTTTTACTATATTAAACGTCCCCGACTGTTGGAAGATGTCATCGATCTCTTCCAATGATCTTCCGTTTGTCTCTGGGAAGAAAAAGAAGACAATTGGGATAAAAGACGCAGTGAGGACTGCGAAAATGATCCAGTAGTGGTTTTTGAGATGAACTGTCCCTGGTGGTGTTATCTGGCCAACCACAAATTGCCCTAACCACTGGCCAGTTACGGCCACGGCCATGATAGGCGAGCGCATCTTCGTCGTGGCAATCTCGCTTGCGTATAGGAATGGGAGACCGAGGAATCCAATTGAGTAGGATGCCGCATATAGAAAAATGAACGTTGTGGACACAGCTGCTAGATGTTTTCTGTCGCTTGTACTGGCCATCACAGCCATTGAAATGCACATCCCGGACGCACCAAGCAGGAACAAAGCACGCCTGCCAAATCGGTCAACCAGAAAAAGAGGCAAAAGTGCTCCTAGAGTGAACGTAGAAACAAGCCCCGCACTGATCAAGTGGCGGGAGGTGCCGGTGAATCCTAGATTGCTAAACACGATCGACGTGTAGAAGATCAATGCGGAGCAGCCACACCACTGTGTCATGCTCTGGGCTAGGGTAGCGAGCACAGTGCGATGAATATAGCGTTCTTTGCTGTTCCTGAAGAACAACCTAAAGCTCCCCTTGCTGGCCTCGAGCTGAGAGTGTATATGAGTGATCTCCGCATTCACCTCGGGGCTATAGCTAGGTTTATCCATGACTGCTGCCAGAACCTCTCTAGCCTCTTCAAGCTTTCCTTTTCGGGCGAGCCACCGAGGGCTTTCTGGCATAAAGCTCACAAAGACCAGCGCCAAGAGTGCAAAACAGGCCGGGAAAACAAGAGTGACCCGCCATTGCGCCGAAGTCTTCCAGGCCGCAAAAAAGCCGAAGGTAATCCAGCTCGGAATTGAAATGCCAGTACTGATGAAAATGCCCTCCATGATGACGAACTTACCCCTATGCTTTGTTGTTGAGCACTCTGTCTGCCACACGGGAATACTGACTGAAATGACACCGATGGATGCACCGACCAATAGTCTTCCGACAATGAACTGGGGTAATTGAAAAGCTGACGACTCAATTAAGAGAGCGATTATCGAGGAAACCAGTCCACATATAATAGTTCGAATTCGGCCAATTTTATCCCCATAGGCGATACATGAGAGGGCACCAAGAATGGCGCCCAAATCGTAACAAGCAGTGACAATTCCTAGCAATCATTAGCCGCTGTCTATACGATGGGATTACTGACTTTTCATGCCTAAATTAATAGAGTTTTGAGACTTTGCAGTGCCGGCCACGTTGACTGTATCCAACGAGGGGAATTGCTACTCAGAATGTTAGCTAAAGAGCATATATCCCAGTCGAGCCGACAGACTTTCACAAATGATTCAAGGTCCGTAATACCTCCGCTTGATCCGTTGTTGTACCCAAATAGCATGAAGCTAGGCATGACAACAAGTACAACCATAGCCACCTTGAGGCGTAGGCCTCGTAGACCCAGGCCTGGGAGTGATAGGGGCATTGATGCAAATGATTGAATTCCGGATTGATGCCTTGCTTTACATGGTATTATGGAAACTGCACAACATTCGCAGACTTTATATTGGTCGTCTACATGAATGCCGGGGTTTCGGCTAGGGATTGAACGAATGTGGGGTGAACACGGGGAACTCGGAATGCGGGGGAAACGAAACCCCCGGCACTACAGAAATGATGGGCCATCTAAGTTTTTACCCCCTTGTAGGTAAATTACCAGACTCATCATAATGTCGGCGATACGAGTTTAATACCGGCCCTGCAAAGCAAAAATACAGTCTTATCTTCGTCTACCAAAGGCCTTGTATCCTGGACAATGGTCGGTCCCAAATAAAACCGGCAGTCTCTCTGATAGTATCGGGCAATTTTACATAATGATGGTTTGTTACGTGCTCAATTCAAATTAAATTAAATTCTGAATTCAGCATCTCCAATACATGGTCAAAGCTATTAGCGCCAAGTTCATCTGGAAGTGTGGAGTCAATCACATCCCATGCAGCTCGGTTTACTTTCGTCGTTGGCTCCTTTGACCTTGATTTCACGTCATCAGAGTTTGAGAACCATTTAGGTGCCTCCGTATCCATTTGGATCGGAGAATTTGCCGTTGGGCTCAGTATAGTGCTAGAGAGCCGGCATGACACTGTAATAAGGTCTTTGCACGTCCTCAACAAAGTTTGGATATCCCCAGGCCAATCACTAGGAGGAAAGCCGGCATTGGTCTCTTCTCTTGTGAAAGGGTCGCAGTCGAGACCAGAAATAGACGAAGGTGTTCTAATAGCTTCCACCCAACGGTCACCTGTGATACTCTGGATGTGCCTTAAGCAGTCTTGCAATATCCTATCTTGCGATGGTCGTCTCAGCCTCTGCGCTTGCTCAACTACTTTGAGACGAGTGATAATATCTTGAAAAGAATCGCGTAATTCAACAGTGAGAGACACCGGACAGGATAGGACCCACGCAGCTATTGTCTGATCAAAAGAGGTCGTATGATTTTCAGATGACAAAGAACGAGGTGTTGCTGGGGCTCTTGCGTGTCGCGCCGATTCTTCATGATCTCTAGGGGATTTAGATTGACATGGAGACGCTCTAGAGTATGGCGAAGTAGATGTTGTCACGCGAGACCTTTTGCGCTTAGCTTCATAACAGCTTGCGTTTGATCTTGATCACAAGTCAGGTCAACCAAAGATTCAGGATTCCGGGAATACATGACTCACCCTCCATCGGCCCTAGGTATTCGGCGCTTCCGTCGCACAATGTAACACGCGGTCTTGTCGGTTTCACAGTTATGACAAGGAAAACCGCATTCCACATTGCACCGGACCTTTCTCGCTCGACAGTTGGCACAAGCCACATTTCCCT